ATGTTGATTTGTTTTATGTATCAAGCTATAAGCAGGGCAACAATTTACAAGATTTTTAGAACTGCTATAAAAGTTTTTGGACCATATGTATTCATTTGCTCTTATTGTTACGGTGATTTGTTAAAAAATTGGGGTTGACAAACGTTTGACCATAGGCAACATATTTACAGAGACTTGTAAAGGTGACCCTATATAAAATGTATTTTCATTTTATATTTATTAATTGTATGTTAATATATTTTTCAAAAACTAAATCTAGTTGCGGTTTAAGTCATTAATTAATTGTGCAAATAATCTATCCATAATCATGTAAGGGATGAATGTATCTTCCATGTGATATAAACATGACAACACTAACCGATACCGCCAAAAATTAATAATTTGTAGTGTTAAACTACCCTACAAGTGGGAAGACAGAGTCAGAGGGATTCCCCGGCTCTAGGTGAAAGTCAGCTCACCAGCCAAGAACGAAGTGGCAACGTCGCATCCCCTACCTCCTCAGAGGCCAGTCCTATTCTGTATTCTATTCCACTATAGTTGCATATGACACATGTAAGGCACTGTTAACACAAAGCTTATATGTTGGTATCCCTGTTTTCTCAACTTCATTATCAGGATTCATGCTCAAATCAAAGCAGCTGGCAAAGAACAAACAACAGTTGAGGCTAAACGGAAGAGAGTTTACTAATTAAAACTACAAAATAATTTAGATCTTGATCAGTTAGAAAGAGTATAAATGATTCCTTAAGATTGATATTGCAATTTTCAATAACATTTGTTTTAGCATGTTTCTGTCCAATTTCAATCTTTTCCAAAATGTATATAAAAACTTGGAATGGTCCCTCTTGATTGAATAAATAAACCAATTACTTCAATATTATGTTAAGCTGTATTTTTTCTTTAATTAAAATACAGTACGGTACATTCAAGGTTTACTTACTGTAAATGTGAGGTACCCTATTTATATTTTACATTTTACATATGGTACTGTTAATAATAAATTTAATATTTTATAAATTAATATAAATAATAAATTTATATTTTATTCAAAGTGTAATTCAAATTTTCCGTGAACTGTGATTAAGTGAGAGGGTAGATCAATGGTGGTGGGAGGGATGATTTTGAGGGGGGGAGGGTGTGTGGGGGGTCGCGATGGAGTGAGGTTTCTACAGACAGTCAACATGAACGTAGGCTCAGCGACTCTGCTGGTCCTGGGACTACTATCAGCGGTGTCTCTAGGTAGATATAAACATAAGTTGTCTAACATAGCTTACTATTACCATAGAGTATGTGACTTGTTTTTCATTTTTGTCCAGTGTTTAACAAGTAAAAGTCGCAGTGTGGTTTTTGGAGATAAACAATTAATTTTTAATTCAATTGAAATCAGTAAAGTTGTTGGGCAACTATAAACATGAGTTATCAAACATAGCTTGCTATTATATAGGTAATCACTATGTTTACTTGCCAAGTAATTTTGGGTTAACACTGCATTACATTGTTTAAGTTACAAAATATTCAAGTGCCATCAGTATTTTTTGTGTTATCCAAGTGTCCTACAACTTGAATTGTATTAATTGCCTTTCTTGGTCTTCATTTTTGAACTGAAGGTTTGTATTCCCCGTATGTGAATTTCGTAAGCTTGTTGGTTATATTCAGAGTGGTCTTCTATCTTCATATCACGTAGTTTTAGTTACATAAAGAAAGAGACATAAAGACATTATACGTGTTACCTAAAATAGTTCGGAATTTAAAATGACTCATCAATCAAGAAAACCTGTTAAGTAGGATCGCTGAAAAAGGGATGTAACAGCGGAAACTATGATATTACGTATATAAAAGATGTGCATAATAACCATTGACTATATATAGTGAATGATAATAACACATAACATTTAGTACTAAAGTTTATTGCTTCGTATCCGACCTCCGTGCCGCTGTGCGTTAACACCAGCATCCAGTTAGCACCCAAATTTTAAAACGTTTTTATTAGCTCGCTTTCTTGTCCGGTACAAATTTTGAAATCAATTTTATACTAACTTCCCGACGAGCTAGAGACTTGAAACTTGAAACATAGCTCACAAATGGAGGACAATGCAATATTAATCATTTAATTTTCATATTTCCCTTGGTCTACGCCCCATGGGCTTGTTTTTATTAAATGGCTTTCTTGCAAATTTGGATACTTCCCGATGAGCTAGAGACTTGAAATTTGAAACAAACCTCATAAATGGATGACAATTCAATATATTATATAATTTAATTTTCATATTTCCCTTGGACTACGCCCCAAGGGCTTGTTTTTATTAGCTCGCTTTCCTACACATTTTGATATCAATTTTAAACGAAGTTTCCGATGAGCTACAGGCTTGAAACTTGAATAGCTCAAAAATGGATGACAATGCAATGTTATATAATTTAATTTTAATTTATCATATTTCCCTTGGGCTACGCCCCTTTGGCTTCCAAATTTTCTATGTTTACATTTTAAAAGAATGTGTAAACATATAAATTAATTTAAGTCCGCTGTAAATACTTAAATTTGACAGTTAGAAGAGCAGAGGTTAAGAGGTGCAGGTTCTGCTCCCGAGATATTCTAAAAATATAAAACAATCATTTCAAAGTAAAGATAAAACATCTGATTACAGATAATAAGGTGTCGGGTTTTTGTTATGCATTAAGAGGCTATATAAAATAGATTTAACATATTTACACGTTAAAGACTAAAAACTAGATAATAATTTATAAATAAAAATACTTTTTAAAAATAACACTTTTTTATACGCACTAAAAAGTATAAAATAATTTATAAAATGTTGAGAGAATAAATACTTGTAGGATTTAAAACGAAAAACGTGGGGCGCATGCAATAGATCACAATAGTTCAATAGGTGAAGTTAATTGTAAATCAGCATGCGCCCCACGTTTTTAGTTTTAAATCTTACAAATATTAATTCTCTCAACATTTTATAAATTATTTTATACTTTTTAGTGCGTTTAAAAATGTGTTATTTTTAAAAAGTATTTTTATTTATAAATTATTTTTTTTTTACTTTTAGTCAAGCCAACGAATAACAATGAGATTTTTGTAGACTTTCAACTATTTACGTAAATGTTGTAACCATCGAGAATCTAATAATAGCACATGCAATTTATCACAAGAAATCAAGCAGTAGTAGCCTATATTAGCTATTTATAATACAAAATCGGTTTCACAGAAAGTGGGTCTTAATGAAACGTTTCATATAAGGGTTTTTGTTGTCTGATTATTTTTCATTCTTATATCTGTGCCTATATATTTCTAAAAATCGGCAAACTGAATATAACCTCCTTAAAATGTATTTTGTATTTATAAACTTTCTGAAATGTTTGTTAAAAAACTTACAGAAGAATAATATTTTTTCTAAATACCAAAAGTTGTGTTGTACGTTTAAAATGATCACTTGATATTTAGAATGAAATCAATAAAACATTTTCTACTCCCTTGTGTTGTTAAAGGACTCCTTTCCGTTATTACCGTTTTGGCCTATAAGAAAATAGTAGTATGATTTTAAAAAATCTATTACAACCTATTACATCCAATTTAAAACTCTCAAAGGTACACGTACTGTAAATGTTATACTGTATACTTCAAGTAAATATGTGAATCCACCTAAAGCTGTAAAATGTGTATTAAAAGTTTATATATGCTCATAAATAACAAACTAACGCAAAGAACCCCTATAAACTATAAACGATGAAGGTTTATGTATCTTTTCATTTTAGTCAACCCCAATACTATAAGTTTTTTTAACAACACTAATGTCAACCATAATATCGGAAAAGGCAAAATTTAAAAACGAGCTTTAACGGCCTACATCACTGTACACTTAAATTCCCTATACCATGAGAAATATTATATTTACAAAACTTAAAATAGGTACCACACTTTGTTACAAGATCCATTTCATAAATTACATTATAATATTTACATTTCATATTTAGTATGGAATAGATTTTCATAAACTATTTTTGTTTGAAACCATCCCACAATTTATTGGTCCTAAGTAATTTGCGATAGAGCTTAAATACGGGAGTTTCGTGGAAAATTCAAAACAGCTGACAACGCAAAACATGACAAAAGACGACGAGTTGTCGCCGTCCTTTGTTTTTCGTAAATCAACCCTTCCCTTGAGGCAAACTGCACTTTCAAACATCGGGAAGTATGAAACATGGATGCAGTTTTGAAAAACATGTCGCTCCGTTTTTGGTAGATCCATGGCCACACTAAAAAACCTTTTTTAGTTTTTTAGTGTGGCCTTGGTAAATCACAGCTGATTTTTATACTCCCTAGAGACTAAAAATGGATTTTACTAGAGAGTAAAAATGCTACTTTAGACCCGCAACGTATGCATTAAAAACGGCAGTTTTTGCTGCAGTATGACGAAAATAACTTCAGTATCCAATAGTCGATGGTTGGAGGCAGCTCAAAAATGTAAAATACCCCCACCGCAGCAAACCTACTGACTATGCGAATTTCCAGTTGCCTGAATTATTGATGTTCAATTAAATGTATTTAATTAACATTAGGTTTTATGAGTACATAGACTTGCTGTTACAGGGGGGGTAAAAAAGTGTGCTTTTTAGTAAAATATGAATAACTTAGATTAAATAACTTAATAACATGGATTTAAGGAGTAGTCTCTATACTCCTTTTTAATTTCCTTTTAATTTTGGGAGCAGCTCCCTTATTAAACTTTTTAGCCCTTTATTGAATTTCCCATATAAGAAATGAGCTACCGTAGGTCTCATGGCCATAACTGGACTCGGGACCGATTTATTTTTTCGTTTTGAGGTGTCCAGATGCCAAAACACCCCCGTTTCAAATAAATTTATACAGTAGCCTATATTACTTTTCATCCTTTGGTGAAATAAAAAAACAATCATTTTTACATGTAAGTACTGTAGTATTTTGCAACAGTGAATGTATTCATTTTACACTCTTACACGACACTCTGCCACAGGGGACGGTATCAGATGCTACGTGTGTAACTCCAAGCAGGACGCTCGGTGTTTGGACCCCTTCGTCGGCAACTCTACCTCCTCCGCGCCCATGGACACGGTAGACTGCGAGTACGACAACACGGTGAGAGCAGCGCTGGAGACGGTGGCCAACTTGATGACGAAGCTGGGGCAGGCTCCGGCCAGGGACCCGACCGACGTGCTGGCTCAGGCACCCTCCGTGGAGGCACCGCAGGATGGGCCGATACCCGCGTCCTGTCAGAAGATAGACCTCATTGGTGAGCAACCTTCCAGCATGAAATAAGACGCAAGAATTGGTTTAGGAGACTGAAAAGGAAAGTCCCAGAACAGCCCTAGTAGGTTTAGGAGACAGGTTCCAGCATACACCGTGATCGTGATAGTGAATTTACAGTGTCTAATGAGCCTCTTTGGGATGTTCTAGGTTCCATCATACAGACTATAGATCTTCACGATATGGATAGAGGAATAGAGATAGGTGGTAGAATTGACTTTTGAATACAAGCATGCAGAATGTTTTAGTATTCGCCTTCAGCCACTTGAATCGTTACGTACCTTCTCAGACAATTACAGCAGGCGTTCTTACACTGAATGTTATACATACACCCTGATAATCAATGGTACGAGTTCTCGTATGTTAGTACAACCTTAGATTATGTTATAAGTTGAAATAAGGCGAGAAATCCAATATTGGTACCAAGATAGTTGGGTGTCAAAGAGTTGGCCCAGAGTTTATAGTGTCTTGAAGTAAGTCATTTGTATAGGTTTGGTTCCACAAACATTTGAAAATTTAGACAAATATCTGTTGTGTGTTGAGGTTTTTTATTTTAGTGTATCTGACTTAGTGGTTGGTTGTGAATTCAGTTATGAAGCCCAGGTTTATGCCCCGTCAATGCCATGGCCCAGTGGGGCGAAGCTCCCTTAATCTATTTATCCACCAAGAAATCAAACAGATAGGTCTCTAACGCAAGAGAATTATTTGTAAAAACTCTCACAACTAAAACTCAAAATGATAATTAATATCTTGATTACTCAACTATTCTCAACTCTTACACTTCATGTCAGTTCTAGGAGAGCGAGTGACCGGGAGAGGATGTTCAGTCCATCAGCTGGAGAGTTTCAACCCTTGTGACGCCGTCAAGCTGGTCACCACAGCTGACGTCACTCTGGAGTTCTGCGGAGTTTGTGACTACGACGGGTGCAACAGCCGTCCTCTCCTAGCCTCAGGGGCGCTCCTCCCAGCAGCCGCGGTGGGACTGTACTGGAGTCTGGTCTGAGACGACCCCGCGGTCAAGGACGCTGCAATGATGCTTCTATGCATCTTTAACATTGCTAAAGGATGCCTCAAACAATGTTAAAGATGCTGTGTTCTTCTGTATTATAGTTCTAAGATGTACGAATATCAAAGAAGCATCTTAAAAATTGGCATATGATGCTGACATTTTCAAATTTAGAATATAGATTCAAAATCGTTAAGTATTTTTAATGGATGGGTTTTCGAAGTAAGTTTTTAATCTGTCGCCTTAAACATGTTATTAGACGTTCCTACCTAACTGTAAGCTATTCGATTGGTTTGTAAGACGTAATAAAGTAATTAAAACAATTGTTACACAGAAGTTTTTATTCAAGCCCGCAAAAGCCTTTGACTTATGGAATCAACAAAATTACAGTGTATACAACATGGTAAGTGAAAAATGGAAATGATAAATAGTACTCGCTCTGCAATCTGAATGTCGTCGGTTCGGTCCTGGAAAAGTCAGTAGCTTTTTGATGGTTCGATACTGGACGTATTCGTCCTTGACCTTTTTAATAATTGGCTCTGACTAAAATAGCAGACTATTATTGTTCAGTAAAAAAGCTAGGCCTACATAAAGCATTTCAATGAGATTCTATTCCCATTTAGTTTTTAAATACGTCTCAATTGCGTCCTCATTTCATAATAGTTATTTGGGTAGACTGTGCATTACATCTCCTGTAAAAATGCCACTGTCGTCGGCATCAAGAAATAATAAGATGATATGGAAAGTGATATAACTTCGAAATGGCGTGTGGGTTTTTATATAACTTGCGAAACGTCCAAGTGGGAAGTGTATGTTTATCAATAGCTTATCAATGCAATTAATTAACTAGCCTAACTTAATAATAGGGATGCAATTGACAGTTTTTACCATCAGAGAAAAAAATATTTGGATCCACTACGCAACATTATGAAGTTATTGAGAATCGGGATAAAAATAACTAATTAAATAAACAATAAGGTAATATTATTTCCTTTTTTTATTTCTATAAGTTTTGGCTTTGTTTTTTTCATATTACTTTAGGCACTATTAATCAGTAAAAAAAAAAAAAAAAAAAAAAAAAAAAAAAAAAAAAAAAAAAAAAAACACGCTTTGGTGCGATGATGTATCACCATAAAAAAACTAGACATGAAATGCGAAGTCACAATTTATAATACAATTCTTCCTGTTACTTGGTATGATGGGATTTAGTATTTCATTTGTACTTTATCTGCCTGTTTCAAATGTCAATTGCAATCCATTGAACTGTAATCTATCTTGTCTCCGATGCAGGTTTGAAATAGAAGACAATCACTGTGCAATGGACCTGTCTTCCACACTGACAGTACGGCCGATATTTACGTAACAAACCAGAATAAAGACATAGCCCCCTCCTGTAGACCCCCCCCCCCTCTATAGAGCCCCCTTCTTTATTATATTAACAACCTACAGAGCTAGAGTCCAGATGGCGGAAAGCAAAACTTCATGCTAATTTGGTCGTTATTCTTTTAGATGTTTTACCCGTGTTTCGCAACGGGATAAGGATACAAAAGTGGTCAAAAATGAGGTTTTTAAAAATTTACTTTGAAATAATCTGCAAACTCAAAAAACATTGACTACAGAGGCAACCCTAAACCCTAGCACTTCTTCTATTTGTTTTAAATAGAACAATAACATTTACATTCTTTAGACGATTAATTATGATAAACATCTAAAGGGAATGACTGTTCAATCCATGGTATAGCCTAGTTAAGTATACAGGGTGGCTGAAAAGTAACTTGCACCCCCACTTAACTTTTCAACCATTTGAGATATTTGAAATCGGTTTGCGGCAACCTTCTTAGATATGAGGGGCTACAATAATTATGGCCAATTTTGAAAATTTTGCCCTTATGGGTGGCGGGGGTAGGGGGTAGCTCAAAAATTTCAAATGACAAGTATAGTTGAGTTTGGTATCATTTTACAGGTCTTGACGAAACATAAACGTTGACATAAAGAAAACCAAAATCAGCTCACTAATAACAAAATGGCGCCCTAAAACGTTTCAAATCCAAATAACCTTGAGGGTGGCAAAAATATTAACTTGCACCCTCTTTAACTTTTTAACTATTTCAGATATTTGAAATCGGTTTACGGCAACTTGTTTGGAAATGAAGTGCTACAACAATTATGGTCAGTTTTGAAAATTTTGCCCTTAGGGGTAGCGTGGGTAGGGGGCAGCTCAAAATTTTCAAATAGCAAGTATAGTCGAGTTTGGTATCATTTTACAGGTCTTGACGAAACATAACAAATAACATAAAGAAAATAGAAATCAGACCATTAATAACAAAATGTCAGCTAAAAATGATTGAGGCAATGGTTATTTAAATTAATTTTGAACTGCCATTTTGTTAATTGTCCGATTTCTATTTTCTTTATGTCAATGTTTATGTTTCGTCAAGACCTGTAAAATGATACCAAACTCAACTATACTTGTCATTTGAAAATTTTGAGCTACCCCCTACCCCCGCCACCCCTAAGGGCAAAATGTTCAGAATTGACCATAATTATTATAGCCCCTCATATCTATGAAGGTTGCCGCAAACCGATTTCAAATATTCCAAATGGTTTAAAAGTTAAGGGGGGGGGGGTGCAAGTTACTTTTCAGCCACCCTGTATATTGAGACCCACCTGTTGGTCAATTGTGTTCCAAATAGAAACGTACTTTTTGTAGTTCATTTCACTATATTATTGGACCATCTACAGGGTGTCACAAAAAAGTGTGATGGGCTATACAGGACCTAATTCTACATGCAAAAATAAGTCAAAAATGAAGAATAACATTTTTTGGATTTCGGCTTAGTTTAGCCGTAATCCGCCATTTTGTTTTTTGGGGAAAATATTTATTATTTCAAAATCCCTTTGAGATATTTTTACGAAACTTGGCAAAATTGTTTACACTATAGTAAGTAACATTTATACAAAAAATTATTATTTTAACTTTCCAAATTTCAAAATGGCGGCCGTTTGAATTTTTTATAACCAAATTTCATGAAAACCGGTACCTAAATCAAAATTTTGTAAGAGACAAAAGTTTTAGTATTTATTATGACAAATCCAATAAAACAAAAATGAATAAAATCGGTTCATAAATAAAGAAGCTGTGTTTATTTTAGTAATTTAGACTGAAATTATTAATATTAAAATGTATTAAATGTAATGTAATAATTTATGTAACGTATCAGTCTAAATTAGTAAAATAAACACAGCTTCTTTATTTATGAACCGATTTTATTCATTTTTGTTTTGTTGGATTTGTCATAATAAATACTAAAACTTTTGTGTCATACAAAATTTTGATTTAGGTACTGGTTTTCATGAAATTTGGCATTAAAAAGTTCAAACGGCCGCCATTTTGAAATTTGGAAAGTTAAAATAATATTTTTTTTTATAAATGTTACTTACTATAGTGTAAACAATTTTGCCAAGTTTCGTAAAAATATCTCAAAGGGATTTTGAAATAATAATTATTTTCCCCAAAAAACAAAATGGTGGATTACGGCTAAACTAAGCCGAAATAAAAAAAAAATTATTCTTCATTTTTGACTTATTTTTGCATGTAGAATGAGGTCCTGTATAGCCCATCACACTTTTTTGTGACACCCTGTATAAAGAACTAGAAATTTTGTGAAAATCGTAAGCTAGATAGACCCCTCTATTAATTAAAAATTTGAATGAAAGATTTTGATGAGAAATTCCTAGCAAAATATTAGTTTTTGGTACACCTCCTAAATAAAAGCTGCGGTCGGGGTATTTTTGTTTTCTACTCCAGTGCCATATTTTGAAGTTTTTTTTAAGGGGATGGTAGTCTAATTATTTAGTGTTTTTAATACTATATTTTTAAAGGTCAATTTACACACTGTTTGAGCTGGTTGCACAGGAAGTGTGTGTTAAAATTCCCAAGTATCTTGGTTGCTAAGCAACTCTCCCTCTTTGTGAAACTCTCATCAAGAGCACTTCATTGGCGCTCTCACTACCCTTTACAGGAAACATCTTCTTCATTAGCCTTTTGGGAATCTTATGTATTTACCGATCCAACCTTTTTTGTTAAAGAAAACGTAGAAAATATGTAGTTTCTATAATCTTGCAAGAATTAGACTGGGTCGTTAAGTAACTATAAGAACAACAATAACAGACAAAAATAGTACAAAATACGATATTATGGAATAGTAATAATATTTATAGTATTGTCTTATCAAAAACGCTTTGATTATTATTTATGTATTACAACTCAAAAGCAAATGAAAAATGTGTATTAAAAACAAAAATGGCATAAAGTTGCAGTCTTCAAATCGTGGATAGGTCCCCGCATGAACGAAGCCTGTAAATGGGAAACGAGTTAACGCCAGCCATCAACGTAGCCCTATCACCTAACTAAACCATTACCTAATTTTAACAATTTTTATACATTATTAAACTAATTCATAAATTATTAATAGAAATAAAACTTCACCAGGACAGCACTTATAATGAAATTAAAATCTAAAAAAGATGAAAATACCCCACCGCAGCAAACCTGCCGACTAAGCGAATTTCCATTTGTCTTAATTGATTTTCAATTAAATATATTTAAATAACATTAGGTTTAATGAGTACCTCGGTTTGCTGCTACAACGAAACTAATAAAGTGTGTTTTTTAGTAAAATGTTGATAGCTTAGTATAAAATAAATAAATTTGCCAAGTTTGATCAAAACATATCCATTTATAATTTTTCAAATGGTTAAATAGTGTTTGCAATCTGAGTGACGTCAGCATATAACGGGAATAGCACACCTATGTTGAGCGAAGCTCACTTTCCCTCACTTTGTAACTTCTTTGTAAGAGCATCAGAATGTAATGGCTTGACCAATTGATATGAAATTTGGCCAACAGCTAAAGAATACTGCACAATGTAGCACAATGTTTAGGTAAAAAATATTTGCAAATTTCCTTCTGGATTTTATTTTATAGGTCACGCAATTTCGATTGTTATTTTAATGTAAGTCGAATGAAAAATTATATTGGGTTTATGACATATGGGTTTATCTCGTTTCATTTAAATAAGATAAACATATGTTAATTGTTTGTAACTGTTTTGTTTAGATTTCAATGTTTACTTTCATCCTAGGTTAGTTGGAATGTGTATCAATGGAAGTAACAGTTTTGCTGTATTTGTTTTGAGAAATGTTGATTGCACGAGTAAGTACATCCCGCTTTGCGCATTTAGAAAGTACAAGCAAATGGTCAGGATGGCCAGTTTCACTACAAAGGTAACATCAGTTGAGCAAGATATTAATGAAATAGCATCTGTCTTACCTATACACTGCCCGAAAACTTTAAAGTAATCATTGTCCAACGTCAAGGCGTCTTTGGCCATATCGATTTCAAAGTTCGACGTGAAAAACTACATCAAGCACTTATTTGGCTGAAGGCAAATAACCCATTCTATTTTGACATAACCATTAGTGATGAAGCGCTACAACAACTACCAGTCAATGGTTTTGTTCACATGAGAGTACCGTGTGTACGTGAAAACCAAGAAAGTCCTGATGAAATCGAAGAAGACCAAGTTGAAGAAACATCGGTGCCTATGATTGCGCAGTCTCGTCAAAGGGATCACGTTCAGAGACTAATGTAGCCGACCGGAACACTGTTGAAAAGAAACATATTAATCTTTAAATAATGCTTCGCTCATTTATGCGTCTAAAGTGTAATGGCAGACCACCCTAGTATTTTCCTACCTATAAAATTTATCAAAAACGTTTTCCAATTATTCTAATTCATTCACAAGAAATAATTAAAACCAGCTGACAATCCAATTATTTATCTGAATGCACATTCTGGTAAACAAACGTATTACACCATGTTAGGAATTTCAAACATTGCAGTTCTTGGCAAGATAACTTTTGAACCTAGCTTCGCTTTGATAATGTAAGAAACCGAAGTTTCACAGCGATGTTCATCATGAACGGTGACAAAACACTTCTATTGACTCTGGCGCTGATTTCTGTCTTCACTCTAGGTTAGTCACTTGGTATTTTAGACGTACAATATCACTGTAGATATCATAGTTTGTGAAACTATCCATGTAATATTGTGCAGAATGGTTCTAAAAGTTTTCCATACATGTTTTGTTACTTTATTTATTTATAACTTAAACTTTACAGTACTGATCATAAAAGTCCACTATCAACTTAAGGATTGTGAGTGTATGGACAATAGGCTAACTTCATTATACTCTTACCTAAATGGGTGTTACCTATGGTTTAAAGTTTTCATTACCATAAAGTACTAACATCCATACTGAAAGAAATAATATTCCGGGTAGTATTATCATAGATGGGTATTATTGATAAATTTACTCTACGGTAGAACCGTGCGAAGCATATTTCGGTGGCAAACCTCCAAGCGACCTATTCTCCATAAGCATTTCGTTTCTAATTTGTCGCTACCCGGGGACGTCCTGAGTAGAAGGGTTAACAGGTACCATCATACAGACTATGGTTTTTTTCGTGTCGCCATTGTCATTTTGACTACTTTAACTGAATAAATATGAAGAATATTACATCTTTATGGAGTGATTCTGACATGAATGGGTTGAAGCCGTGATCCAATTAAAATTAGGTAATTGAAGTTGATATTGCTGTTTTAAAACTCAAATTATCAAAACTCACAATGCTGGTGCAGTTATAACTAAATAATAAAACACTATTCATTGAATGTAATACATAGGTACATAAGTCATTCATAAAGTTATACTTGAAGTGATAGATGACAATAGATGACGATAGACGATAGATGACTTAAGTGATACAGTGATAGATGACTTTCATAATAGTACTTGAAGGCATGTTGCTTGCTTCGAATAACCTTTCATAGGGAAAGCAGAACGTAATTTTATAAAGTTTTCATACTATATATTAGGCCTACCTATGATATATTCGTTTTTTATACGACACATATTGGCAGCAATGAGTTTTTTTTTTTTACTTTTGCAAGAATTGAAATTATAAGCTTATAAAACAATGTTATTAGATTATCCCCTGATGAAATAGCCTAATCTGCATAAAGACGGTTCTAATAAATCTACTTAATCCTCATGGAAATTAGATGAGTAATTTATATATTTTAACCAGCCTAAAAGTATCACGTTTTTTTTTCAATTAAAAAAAAGCTTTTAGACAACCTGATTTTTGCTAGGGAAAATTATTTTTTTTAGAAGAAAGAATTTTAAAAATTTAGCCTATCGGTAAAAATTAGTAGTCTTACAAACCTTTCAATTTTGATTTAGAACTTTTTGTTTACTATGTTATCAGAATGCTCCATTATTTATCACTTACTACCCAGAATTATGTACTTCTCTTATCATAACAAGTGATGAAACTTATTCTCGCTACAATCCTTTGTATACAATCTTTTAAACTCGACATCGCCATTCGGTTCTTACGGACTCTTCAGTCCCACATGTTTGAAAAAAAAACTGCTGAATAAGCCTAAACGTTTAAAATGTAGGAATTTATAACATAACTGAATATCGCAATTTCAGGAAATGTAATTTGACCAATTAGTAACGTGCACTCTTAATTGAAAACAGTCCAGAATTTGAACAGTACAGAATGCGAACAGTCCAGAATTCGAACAGTCCAGACTGCGAACAGTCCCGACTGCGAACAGTCCAGAATTCGAACAGTCCAGACTGAGAACAGTCCCGACTGCGAACAGTCCAGACTGCGAACAGCCAGACTGCGAACAGTCCAGAATGCGAACAGTCCAGAATGCGAACAGTCCAGAATGCGAACAGTCCAGACTGCGAACCGTCCAAAATGCGAACAGTCCAGAATGCGAACAGTTCAGACTGCGAACAGTCCAGAATTCAAACAGTCCAGAATGTAAACAGTTCAGACTGCGAACAGTCCAGAATGCAAACAGTCCAGAATTCAAACAGTCCAGAATGTAAACAGTCCAAAATGCGAATAGTCCAGAATGCAAACAGTCCAGAATGCGAACAGTTCAGAATGCGAACAGTCCAGAATGCAAACAGTCCATAATGCGAACAGTTCAGACTGCGAACAGTCCAGAATGCAAACAGTCCAGAATGCGAACATGCTTGGGTTTATCGGGTGGGGGGGACGGTCGTCTGTAGGTTGGGGAGGATTCTCGATTGCGAACACGTTTCGAGCGGTCTGGGCTTTCAACATATTCGTAGAAACCCAGACTGTTAACAGAATAATTTGACCATAATCACAAGCAAGAATGGTAATATACATACTGGAACAGGACGGATTTTTCTGTGTTCTTGAAGACACTTCTGCTTGAGACGTAGTACGTAAAGACGCGTGTATAGTAACAGGCAGATTCTTTCAGACTCACAAATCCGCTCTGATAATAAAGTGGCTGGTTTTAAATACGTTCTGATAGTAATGATGAAATAATATTTAAATAAAAGCTACAAAACATTAATTCATATGAATACAGCAGTTTAACATAATTAGCCTAAGTACCATGCGTACATTATAAACAAAAATATCAGCCGGTCTCTCGTGTTTAGAAGCAGTGCTAAATATTTGTTCGTAGTCTGGTCTGTCTGTACGACTCATGTTTAGGTACCTAGTCCTCAACATGTTTAGGTGTTCGCAGTCTGGACGGTTTTATCCTTGTTCGCGATTTGGACTGTTCGCAATTAGGACTCAACCTTCAGTTAATAGGGTATGCTTAGAAGCGATGTTTTTGGTTAATGAACTAGATGTAATCCAGAGGTAACTAACTGCAATAACGGACCATGAGGCTATAACTTGTCTTGTTTAAATAAATATTTTTATTTTGTCAAATGAATCGCTAGTGAACATCTATGATTTACGACTGTTTTCGATATTGAGAGCACTTCAATGTTATAAAGTAAGAATGGAAATGTTTACAGTTTGGTGAATTAAACTTGATAAAATAAGGCTAATATTTTAAATTTTTATGTTTACCAGGACACTGTCTAAAGTGTTACTATTGTGAATCCGACTCTGACCCGACGTGTAAGGACCCCTTTGAAACGGCGACTGGAAAATCGAAGGATTGTGTACTGGACACGAATATCACCAAGTTTTTGGGGGAATTGGTCGAAAATTGGGAACCCAAGTGTCAGAAGGTGGTCTACGAAAAAGCAGGTGAGTATTTGGAAATGGTTAAGTACAAAAGCACACATCTGTGGATTTTACATTTCTGAGTGTAACTTATGTTTATTTACTACTTATGAAATCTATTTCATTCACAATAGTAAAATAAGCTTTGCTTTTTATTAGATCTTCCTAATAAAAAGCTGAAGAAGCAAAGACTGTAAGACGCAGAGCAAAAACAGTTCATTTATAAAATGAATTATTTGTATTTTTCTATCAATTTTTGTTCTCTCAGAAACAATACAAAATGCATTTTATTTGTTCACTCATTTTGTTCTGCCCCACCGTTGTGTTATTAATTCAACTTTTTTTCAATTTTGTTGTTTTTGTCTATACTATAACAATGCTCACTATAGACCAAGATTTTTAGGGACAAAAATGCGATTTAACCTAACAAATTCGGACTGAGTGGAAATTTCGCACAGTTGTTTAGTAAGCCTAATTGAAGAAAATTTCAAAAATTCCCGATAAATTCTAGCTGTGTTTCCTGTTCTGGTTCTGTATTACCAAAGGTTAGTGAAATATTGTCAAAAAGTGAAAATTGGCCGCCATTTTCCAAGATGGTGGCTGAGGCACAGCCGGGATTCATGGGGACTTTTGACATTTTTCATCCACTTGGCTTATTTAACTACTAGCAGAGTACCCGTCCTTCGTACGGGGTTGGCAAATAAGTATAAAATGCTTATTGCGGTTATACTCGATCTTTGCGTTTGCAATGTGAGAAGACACGGTTTGAGAAAATTGTCTTCATCAAATTCACTGTATGCTATAGGCTAGTATTACACATCTACCATAGCCATAATGTTACCACTTCATCACTTATCTACCACTTCACCTATTGAGAAAGATAGATTATTAAAAATTCGCAAAATATCACAAATTATTCCTGAAATTAAAAACATAAACACAACTGTAAACAATCCTACATTGGCAGTTCTCATTGCGTATCACAGTTTTTTGTTGCTGCTTAGTTCAAATTAGCTGTTTTCATAAATAATGAAAAAAATAATGTGCTGCACCCTGTTGGTAAATCTTGTAAATTTTTAATGCTTTTGAATATCATAGAACCAACTCTTTTAGTTGAAACAGCTGGCTAAATTCTTTAATTTAAATATGAATACTCATAAGGTTAACATGGGGAACTGCAGAGCCACTGGGGCGGAGCCCGAAATGATTTTTGAGCTAAGAATATGCCTATATGTTAATCGGGAATGTGAACTATCATGATGCCAAATTTCAGCCCAATCCGACCAGTATCTTTCGCGTTCACTTGTCACAAACATACATCCATACATCCAAACTTTCTCATTTATAATATTAGTAGGATTACAGTATTTAATTATTTAACTATTATATAATTATTTAACTATTTAACAACTGTGAAAAGTTTCCATTTAGTCCAAATTTGTTAGGTGAATTTTCCTAATATTCTTTCACTACTAAGCGATCATAAATTAAAGGGGTCATTTTTTATATCTCTGTCTTGTAACACAGCTGTGGATTTGTGGGGCGATATTGAATTGACTTGTGTTAATGAAATCACTTTGTTCCACAGATCAGTCCTTGTTCTACACACGGGCGTGCTCATTGCCCGACACTACTTGTGAAAAAATAAGAAACATAACAATAATAATGCCTGTGAAATATTGCGATATGTGTGATGGGGACAACTGCAACAAGGGCTCCATTCTACGCTACGAGGCGCTACCCTTAGCTTTGGCCATCAGCTGGGGTGGTGCTCGATTGTGGCAGTGAAAAAACAGTTTTTTTAACATATTCGGTAAAACTGTTGTTAAATGTTGGCTACAACGTTTGTGAACTTGTTTTCAGTGCTGTGGTTTACTTTTGATACTTATTATTGGTCAATTTTTGTGGCTTGCTGAATAAATGTTTCAAGATTTTGTTTTAAGTATTTTGTTTCAAGTATTTTGTATTGAAATCTGTAGTGTAGCTGTATTGTTCTAGCCCTTGCAGACAAAGTCTATTATTAACTATGCTAGTAGGTTACTATACTCTTTATGATGGAAGCTGTCTACGGGAGGCGAGTGGCCAATGGTTTAATGTCCAGGCTAGCCCAGACAGACATGTTCCATCCTACACACTATAGTGTGGACTTGTATTGGTGTTTCTATATAGCAGACAGTAAACGAAAATACGTCTAAGAACACTTAAAACATATTTACAAGAATGCTGTTAACTCACAAGATGTTAAAAATATAAACAAAATGGTAAGTGGTCATCAAGTTTGGACACTCAAATCATCATCAGACCCAATATATGCGAACGATATCTGGTCTTTAGAGATTTAATTGTTGTGTCATCATAGGCTAGAAGCTAAACAGATGCAATATTTGATTGGGATTGTTTTGTTGCCAGTTATAGTAGGGGCTACAGTATCTGGGAAAGCTGTTTATGTATAAATAGAAACCATTTTACAGTTGTGTTGACCAAACACAACTTGAAGGAATAAAAAAAATGTTTAGTGAAAAAGCTCGGTGATTTTTATGTAAGAGATTTCTAAATTGAACAAATCAATGAATTGCATGGTAAAAAGAATACATCCCAAATACATCTTATTAAACTTTCACACTTCATTCATAATTCTAATATAAAGTTTTTTCAAAAACATGATTTGAAATACCAGTATTGCGGAACTGATTGAGAAGTTACGTATCTTACGTTTAATGCAAACGAGATTATGACGTCAGCTAGGATTACGTCATGGCATTGCTCAGCTGGTCCTGCAGAGTCTTCGTCATTGTCGTCTAAAACCAATGCCAATAAATTATTGATGAAAAAATAATCATCGAATACATTTTGCATAATATATAAATAGTAGGCTACATCAATTTTCTGCCATGTCTTATATTTTATTAAGAATTATTTTTTAATTAAAACCACGCTAATCCTGTAGGAAAGTATTTAAAAATTACCAGTTGATGACCTTTTACTCAATATATGTTTACGAAACATTACAAGAAGAAGAACAATTTCGAGAAACTCTGTAAAAATGATGTGAATAATTGTAATTTGAGAAAATTACAAATATTGTCTTCTATTTTCTACAATACAAAGTTTTATGAAAATATCTCCTTGTGAAATAAGTCTACTTGTGTTAGTTTGTTTATGATAGTACAAAAGCAATATATTGATTTATTTATATGCATTTATTTATATTTATATATAAAGTAATATTCTATGTAGTTCAATTTTTACTATCTGAACTATCTACCTTACTGGCCTGTTCCCATAACCAATCAGGTGATTTCTACATACAAATCGGGTGATGTGACATATTTTGCAGCTGGAATAAGGTTGTTTATTTTGGTTTGCAGTTAAGGTTTATATGGTTAATTTCATTAAGAATTTTAAAATCTAAACCCGATTTATCATGAATGATGGTGCCTCAGTTCTATTCACGTTTTCTCTATTCTCCTTCTTGATTCCAGGTCAGTTTTCAAAATACATTATTGACTAAACTGTTATTATATCATAAGTACTATATTGTATTTTCTCACGTTAACACTTGGCCAAAATGCAAAGTTCTTTTAGTTGTGATTTAGGCTCTCTCAATGCTACTGTAATTTAAATTGAAACTAAAGCATGAATCGCCTTACGATTTATTGTAAAATATAATAGGTACTCTCTTCTGCAAGCTGTACAATAAAAAGTAAAAATATATTTCCATGATAACTTTGCTTTAAAGACCACAGGTTTAGTTTGAGCACCCACTAAGTTTTTACATTAGAGCCTAGAGCTATCTCTGTCTCAGATGTGTTTAGATTAATTTCCTCGACAGGGGTTTGTGTTTCCTAAAGTCAAAATAATTCTACTTTGTGTGGCTAGAAAGAGGTAAAAAACACGTACCATACCAATCTATAGAGATATGTTTTAGGGAGTATGAAAATCAGATGATGTCAATATTGCAACGATGTTTAGTTAACAAAATACGGTTGCACTTAAGTATCTGTCCTACACTCATTCGAATGAAAAATGTCGATAATAGATTATTCGATATATCGATTATTTCATTCAGTTAGTTAGGTTAGGTTAAACTACTAACCAAACTTGTATTCATACTAACCAAATCGATATATTCAGTCATAATGAGTGTAGGACAGATACTATGGTGCAGCCCAAAATACTTGTAACAATATTTTTTTCGCTGCGGAGAGTTAAAAGATAGTAGTTTGTATTTGCGTACGTTTACAGTTCTACTATGGTATATAATGGTTCTAGACCTTTCGATTATTATCTTTTTGTCGTAATATTCATAATTTATGAGAGAACTTAGAAATTAAGTTACGACTTCAACTCAAGTAAAATTATTAGGTAAACCCCCCCTTTTTAAGTACTCTAGGCTAATTCTTTGTTGTTATGTAATTGCAAAGACAATTTTGAAATACTAGCTTTTGTTTATCATGGTACATAATAATATATTTTAAAAATTGTATATGTAAGCGTGTATAAAGGTTCATTCTTCAAGCTTCTAAATTATATCCAATGCCCATATCATTCCAAAATAAAACATTCAGCATCTATGTCGCGGTCCAATAGACCAAATACATAAATGCAATTTACGTATTTTTTCGTATGTTCGTTATTTTACGCTTTTTATCTTTTTAGTTAAAGATCTAAGATACTTAAACCAGAAGGTAAACTTGCAAAGGTAAATGAGACTATTGAATCTATGTCTCAATGGAAGAGACTACTTTGTTGAACCTACAATAACTGGCCAACGTTTCGGATACGTAGCATCTTCAGGGCAGCTACACAGTCGACATAATCATGTATATTTCAGGACTATGTATCAAGTGTCATGCCTGCAACTCCATGGTGGATACCGGTTGTGTCGATCCATATCCTAAAAACTCCACTTACTCGATAGAGTGTCAAAACTCCAACAAGTTTCAACAGATGCCCATAATTCCTAATGACAATGGGACGATACCATTATCCTGTCAGAAGATTGTATACGATCGTAAGTATCACCTTTGGGGATAGACACTCTTTTCCCATGTTAAATATGTAGCTAGTTTAAAATGAAAATTGTTTAATTGAACTTTCGACAGAGTGTGTTGGCACAGAGAAGTTACAGAGGAAGTATTAAATGGTACACTGTAGTGTCTAGCGCTAGTGCTGGTGTCTAGGCCCACGGAGAAGTTACATGGAAACATCCAATGGTATACTGTGGTGTCTATAACTGGGTGCTGGTGTCTAGCACTAGTCGCTGGTGTCTAGGACAAAATATATTTTCACCGTCCCCCTCGCTCTCGTGTCCTACAACGCTCACGGGGGAGGAATTTCCGCACTGTGTTGCCACACGGGCTCTTACTTGCTCACCACATTTATATTTCCTACATATACTAGAGCTGAAAGCTCACAGTCGTTCCATATGCAAGTTTTCTCTGTTCCTTACTTATCTGTTGTGTGGCTAAGTAAACTGCTGATTAATGTCGTTCTTATTCTGGTAGAGATAAATAAAAAATTAAAATTAGAGAAACGTTTAAGTCCACTTAACGAACGAAACTTAACGAATATAAAAAAAATTTAATGTTTTTTTTTTACAAGACAAACGTTTTTACATTAAAAGTCTCCTCGTTCGCTCAATGGTCCTTGATCATTGAGCTTTTAATAAAATGGTCCTGAATAATGAAACAGCTGGTCTTAGTCAGTAACAAAGCTACACAGATCTCACTCCATTCTACACTCATATTTGGGTTAAAACACGCACCTAGGAGTCGTCCCCATCTCAATAATTGCCAACTGATAAAGTCAATGCTATTATTCAATAACGTGACAGTTTTGATGGAAATCCTACAACTATTTCACTAGTCCTTAAACGTTAAACTGTCCTTATTTAGGTACGTAAATTTAGAAACAATCAAGGAGTGCATTAATCAACAATCTAATTATCTTTCATTTAGTTTCAGGTAGAGTTTTGGTTGTTCGATCCTGCGCATTGACCATCGATGCTTGTGATGCTGTTGAACAAGTTACAAGTGAAAGACTTGTGTTTTGTGGAACTTGTGACAGCGACAACTGTAACACAGGGGCCCGACCGGTCTTTGGAGCCCCAGTGACCCTCTTTGGGGCCCTAGCATTGGTTGAGTCCTGGTTTGTCGGTCTATGATACAAACTACGATTCTTCATATTTTCATCCTGAGGAAAACAATTTCCACTTTGTTAGTTTAGTTTAGATTGTGTAAAATATCAAATTAAACGTTAGATTGCAATCGATGTGTTAATTTAGTGTTTATAATTTTGTTTTATTTAAGCTTGGGTCTTACATAATTTTTAATATTTCGTTTATGTTATTGATTTATTTTATCATACAATTATTATAAATTTTAATTATATAAGTTTGCACGTGGTTAAGTAGTGAAAACATTGCACCATAGACTAACCCAACTCTAACCAAGGGGTGTTTATTCATAGGAAACCATACGTTAGTCTATGGATTAATCTATGATTGCACTGACGACGCGCAACGTCAATTCTAGGGGTTGTTCCAAACCGTTTCAAACTTGATAATAAATTAACTGTACTTGTAAACCAATTTATACTCAAATAATATGCATGGGTCTGTAGCACGAACCCTAGAAAAATACCGGTATGGATCATAAACATAAACAAATTACGTTGTTGGCCGAATCTTTGGCAGTTCCATTTAAGCAATGTTAAATATTGTTTATTTTCTAGTATTCGTGGTCTGTAGTTTGTACCTCTGACTGTGGAACTAGAAATTCCATTAACGTGTTTTAGCATAGATAATTAAAACGTACTCCCTTAGTAGATTTCTCATTCATATGGATAAGCTGAAGACAATTTCATTGTTAGTTCCGTCCGGTGCACTGTAGGGGTCGTGTTTTGTTTACAATATGTTTCTTGTAATTCCACTCATTTAAACCC